GCGGTGGGTGGTGGTGTGTGTGTGTGTGTGTGTGTGTGTGTGCGCGCGCATGTTGCGTGTGTTGGTGGCAGCCGAGCAGAGCCAAGCGGAGCCGAGCCAAGCCGGTCGACCGAGCGTAGCTCAGGGGTCTGGTTCCCAAGTTTCTGCCGCTCCATCTGCTCCTTGTTACTCGCGGTTATTAATTAGCCCGGGTTGGTGAGGGAGCACGGGAGTCGCATCGACAACACCGCCGTCGAAATTATGCGACAACGCTCGAACATCGGTAACTCGATGCTCGACTTCGAAGCTGGCCGAGTCGATCTCGATGAAGACGCACAAATCTTTAAATGCGCTCCCGCGTGCGCGCGCGCATCCCCGGGGCTCGCAGAAGCCGATGTACCGGACGCCTCTCGCGTGAGCTCGCAAGGGCGCAATTAACTGTCGGAACGGAAAGTACATCGGTGCCTTCGAGTATCGTAAACGTTTCTCTCGCGTGTCCCGCCTCCGGCTTGTCCACCCGACACGAGATAAAACGTGTCCGCGTTGTCGAGCATCGCCAGACGAGTGCCGGGTGCGATAATTACTAGTTGTATTTCTCTCGAGCGCGAGTCGGAGAGCATTCGCCTGCGGAGATTTTAATTGGAGGATAATACGTCCTTTTACGGCGTAGCGTGAGGTTCGACTGCTCTGCGAAATCTCTGCGACGGAACGAAAACTGGCGGCAACTCTTGAACTATGAGACATTTATCATTAAAATAATTTTAATGATAATATAAAAACATTTTAAAGCGAGAATTTGACGACAAAAGCTGTTGAATATTATATCCAATTAAATATTAACATGAAATATTGCCGAATTGCAAAGTTTATTATTTATGTAATTAAATTTAAAATAATGATAAATAATGATGACGATGAAAATAATTGAATTGTGAAAATTTCTGAATTTTGCATTTCTGCTCTATCTATTTCTTTTTCGTTGAACGAATGCTCCGACTGATTATCAGCGGATCGATATAAATGCAAGAGAGGCACACCGAGGACAGTGGACATGGAATGATTCACCGCTCGCAGCCACGAACAACACGCACGACAAGCATTCGGGTTTCATCGAAACGGTCTCCCCGCGTCATCGTGGAGATGCACCGACGGGGGTTTGCACGGTTCCACCGGCGTCGTATCTGCCCCCGCATTCTCTCCAAATCTCCCGACGCCGGTGCAAGCGGCCTCGAGCGGCGAGCCCGCCCGCAGAAATGTAAATACCGGTCGGCCAATCAGTCTGATTGGTCCCATTCGCTCGAATGCCCGTCATTCACCGACGTATATACCGTTGCCGTAAGGCACGACGGCGCTATACACGTTCCTGAATCGAGGCATTGTTCCGTACGAGCATACATGCCTGTACATATATATCGAGCTATGTACGTACCGGCACTCATACGGGACGCTTTGAAAAAAAAGGCTACTATCGCTACTTTTTCGGACATCGCGAGCCTTTTAATTGCCGGGGTAAATAGCGGGAATCCACACGCGTCGTAATACGATCGCGTTGTACTACGCGATGGATTATCCGGCACGCAATTTCAGCACTTAACCGCTATTAGCGTAATCGCTGGATTAATATTTAGATACATTGCGTTTCATCTTAACTATCATTATGCGAGATCGCTGTATCGCTCGCGCTCCGTCGGGGTCGATGATAATGACATTAACCTTAGCGTGTGCGCCGCGCGAGCTCACGGACGATTCGTGCGGACGTACACATTCATTTATTCCATACGAATATTCGATAGCGCGCCAACGTGACGCGACGCGACGATTCCGCACGCTGATCCCCCGCGACGCGAATCGTTGCGTGTCGACGGCCCATTGTTATGGCAATGAGCGTTTCAGCTTTTATCTACCAATTCTGAAGCGTATGGGCAAATTGGGCTGCTAATCCCAATGCGCGTTTCATCGTGCAATTTCCCCGAAACGTTATTCGGGAAATCGCTTGCGTATAAGGCTGATAGAAAATTTTGACCGGGACTTCTCTCGCTCGCGTATAATTTCGTCGGGCTCTCGTCACGGATACTTTCGTGACTTGGGGCAAACGCGCACTCGCCTATCGAATTGCACATCGCGACCACGCAATATCACATAATTGGAATTAAACGTAGTAATCACGATAATTACGCGTCACGAGCCCGTGTCCAGACGTCTGCTTATTTTCCGCGAACCCCCCGCCGCTATCCCAAGCGATTAGACTCGCGATCCGTTCTAAGAGCAATCAAAACGGATAACGCGTTACCGCGAACGAGACAATTCTGCGAGATGAAGAAATAACACTCGTAGATACGCGTTTCTCGGAGAAAGTCTGATTAAACGCTCCCGGAAATGGGATTCATAGGTAAAGACAATATCCATCGTCGCAGACCGGATAACACGCTCAGTTCACGGAGTTGTTTACACGAGGGCCAAAACTCGCCCGAGACCCCGAGAGCGGGAGGAAAGAAACTAAGAGTCCCACTCGAGAAGATGAAGCGCAATGTCCTCTGGCTCTCTGTACTTCTGTTTGCCCTCTTCTCCCTTTGACTCCATCGTCGCGATCTCTCCTCCTCGTCACTCGCCCGTGGAAAAGAAGAATGGCCGCGGGGCGGAGGGGCGCCGGGAGCGAGACTAGCAGACTGCTGCAGAAAACACCGGTTATACGAGGCAGCGCGCTTCTAATCTGGTTTAACTTGTTTACCAGCCCTTCGATAAAGGAGCAATGCAATCCGCGCGCGAGCGCGCGAATTTCACGTCGGCCTCCTCTCGCACCGTCTGAAATCTGACTTGAAATTTATTACGGCGGTAAATATAGAGGCGGTTGGTGGGTGGGATTTTCTCTCTTCGGTATAGAGAAGGAGGGCGGTTTGGCGTTAGAGAGAAGGAGGGCACCGGCGTTCAGGGAGGAGAAGGTTAAACCGCAGCACGCCCTGTACTTGTAACACACGGGGCCGGTTTTCACCGAGGTTTTTCGAAGGCCCGTTGAAAGTCTCGGTCGAGACGCTGCCGGCCGTCTTTCTGTGACTGCCGTTCGAGGTCGCGTAAACCGCTGCGAGAACGACGACGACAAAGAAGAAGAAGAAGAAGAAGGCGGCGACGCCGACGGTGTCGGTGTCGGTGTCGCAAGATCCGTTTTAACGAGACTGCTCGAGGGGGATTCATTGAGACGCCGGCTGCTTCTTCGACGGCCACGTGACTCCTCTTCCATTCTTTCTCTCCCTTCTTTTATAGCCCGGCGTTTTATTATTCGCCTCTTACTCCCTTCTTTTACTCCGTCTGCCGCGTCCTCCGCGCGCCCTTACCGTCGAACAACCTTCATTTTCTTCTTCCCCGAATTCTCGGCATTATTCAGCGGGCGCACGTCCCTCATCGAGGATGCACGCACGTACTCACTACCTGCTACGGCTACAACCGACGACGACGGTGACGACGGCGACAACGACGTCGTCGTCGTCGTGAAGATCGTTGAAATCCGCAATAAAAACTTCTCGCTATCGAAGCCAATTGATTGTACAAATGCACTTTAGCTATATTGCGGTGCGAGTTACGTGTTTTCTCTGGAAAAAATACGTGAAACAATTTTAACCAAAAGTATATTCGATCTTTCACACATTTTTAATTCTTGGCATTTGATAAATTTTTTATGTCGTAATGGATTAAATTTGTCAATTATTGATATACAATATAATGTGAGAAATTTGTACAATCAGAGGGTAACTTTTTCTAGCCGCGCTATTGTACAATGTGTTTTCGCGAAGCATAGAATGTAACTTAATGAAGTGTTAATTGACAGTGATTCAAAATTACTGACGCGTGCCGATAATATCGGCGAATATGAATGGAATCGTCGTTGGAACGCAATTTTCATTTACTGCTAAAACGCGCGTACGGGATTACGTATTCGCGATAGCATCTCGTTAAAAGCACGCGGAACGCTCGTGAAAAGCTATCGTTATAAAGTGCTCGTCGTAACAGATACGGCCGTCCAATCGAAATTTTGATTACGCGCGCATTATTGCACGTTGCATTATAAGCTTTAATCACTGTAATTACTTATAGCATGTAATTAAGCACAGTTTATTGCACTCGCGCTGACGAGCGGTCCGATGAAACTCGCTCGTTGACGCGTGACGGTGCAAATTTCGTCCGTCGGGGGCGGGCACGCATAATGAAACTTGGAGTCACAATTCTGTCGAATCAAAGTCGGACTAATTGTCAACATTATTTCGTTGCGCAGGAAATCGGCGGTTTCATTACGCGCTGTTTATTGTCGTGCCGCACGCGCGCCGGGATAAATATTTGTTAAAGTCCACTCGCGAAAGACTTTTGATGTCATCTATTGTTTCACGTGATCCATCACGAAATTACGTTAAAGTAATACGCCATTCGTGTGCATTACCCTCGTTAAAACGATCCCGGGCATCTATATCACGGCGCGGCGAAACGCTGCAAGATACACTTTGCGCAGGCCCACGTGTGACTTTGCCGGACATGTTTGCGCGCGTTAATGAACGGTTTCTACCGAAAGGTTATATACATGCCGACCCATTCCTCAACGCCCCTGTCCGTTCTTTATGGGGTTGGTACGTTGTAACGAGCTCCCGTGCTCCGCCGTTCTTCTCTCATTAAAACGTCGGCCGACGTCTTATTGTACGTCGTATTATTATCATTACCGCGCGATGGGACATGCAAGCTGCGCCCACGCGTGGCGTACAATCGGGCGGATCAGCGTTATGTTAATATTGCAATCGTAAATGTCCATTTTAAACTCGTGTCTCTCGAGAAATTACAATGCCCGGAGGAAGTTAGACATACATCCTACATAAAATTCGAAACAATGCATGTTCGGATAATTTTTTTTTCTCGGAATTTAACACGGAAATTATTTCGATCGTAATGCGATCGTGCGACTGCGCGGCGGTCTGTGAACATTAAGGCTAATAACGATTATTTTTCCGTCACAGGTGAGTCAACTGGGACAGTCACGCGCACGGAACCGGAAGCTGTTGAAACGGTAAGTTCAATTAGGAATAATTATGCGATATGGCGTCGTTTAGTTAGTTGTACATTTCGTGCGTGTCGCGGAAATTAAACCGCGATAGACCCGGATTCGGCGCGCGCGCCGGGCTCAACGAGCCCGGAACACGCACAAGGCGCAGTACATTCCGAATGAAACGCGCCTCGTACATCCTCCCTTTGTATATTTTTTTTACCGACATGCACGATGCCAGGCGTGTTTGATCGTCGACGAAAGACGTCCGGGCGATGACTGCTCCAGGCCCG